AATCAGGACAAAAATACCAATCTTTCACAAAAATACGATCCATTGGGGTTATATTAAGCCAACTGATAACAAAATTCGACCTAATTCGTCGTTTTTGTGTGGTAAAATCCTTTGCATACGAACACCTAATTACACGAAGAACCTAGAACACTTTCCTGGGGTATTTAAAACTAAAAATTTGCATTCCAGCTCAGCAGCCAATCAGCGACGGCCTAACGCTTAGATGACAATTTCGGTTTCAAGTACCCCGGCTTAGTGGCATTATTGCACAACAATTGAAATTGGTCGCAAAGCAATCTAAGCAATAATTTTATTTTACCGGGTTTGACATGGTTTGGTGTATGAGACATTCTTAAAGGCAACACTGTCAATGCACTTTCCCTTTAAAGTGATTAAATGAACCACTTAGTATATGTTTACAATTCATAGTTAAGGGTGCTACGTTTCTAGATTTAGTGTTCAATTTTTTGAGATAATTGTATGATTCTTGTTTATTTTACTTACATTTTGATAATAGTCTCTAAAACATTTTGTGTGCCTGAAAAATTTAAATTTGAATATTGAGACAAAATTTGACACTGAGAAATGTTTTTAATTAATCTAAAGAAAGAACAAATTGAATCAAGTTTATTTGAATACAAAATAAATGAAATTAAAAGGGATATTTCTCAGATGCTCAAATTATTTTTGAACACTGTCCACATGTCATGCAGCAGGTGTCTACAATTTTAATTGTACATTTCAGGAAATTAGCTGAACTGAGTGTGGATGAGTTCATGCAGTATGGAATCGATTCAGATTCATCAGAAATTGACACAATTTCACAAGCAGTAAAGACGAAGAAGAAAAAGAAAACCAAAGAAAAGACCAAAAATGAAGAACCTGTCAATCAAATGTAAAATACTAATTATTAATTCATCATATTTGTTGTTTCCTCTGGTTTGAAGTTTTACAATGTGCACAAACAAGAATTGTACTGGTAACTTGCAACTTGCCTGGGAATTTCTGTATCAATGGTCTAATAACCTCATCAACTTTTTTCAAATTGTGCGAATAATTACAACTTCCTTTGTATAGTCACAACAATGTTGCAATAAAAAAACAACTAGCTTAGCCATAATACCTATCGAGACAAAAATCCAAAATCAAGTGGCACCTGCAGAAGTGAGATTGTCACAAAATGTAGCAGATCATTTGAGATCACTGAGATAATTCGATAGCACAAATAATAAAATACCTCATTATATTGCAATGTTTATAGGGAGTTTACGAATTTCCCTGTACGAATCTTCTATGCGCCTGTTGTAATACTTTTGAATGTTATATTTCTCTTTTGAATGAGTAATAACTGTACATACCCATCATTATCAGATTCAAATGGCTTTATTTTCCAAGCGCAAGCAATAAAACAGAAATAAAATAACGTAAAATCAAGGATATTGTGACAAATATGCAAACCAATTCTTTTTATTTTTATAAATATTTATAAATTTTACAATTAAAACTTAAACAAGATATTTTATCGGCCTTCACACTGTAACGTCATATGTTTACATGTTTGCCAATCAGCATGCAAATGACATCATTGCACACTGCACTTGTTGATTGGCTGGTTGTATTCAACTGCCATTGTAATATCTAACTATTCATAAAAATGAAGGGAATGGGTTTCTGGTGATGATAGTAAATACTGTTTTATTTTCAGTCCAAAATTGACCAAAGTGAAGAAACACCAGATGCAGATGAAGAGCCTGAAAGAAAAAGATCCTGAGTTTTATAAATTCTTACAGGATGAGGATCAAGAATTACTGGATTTTGATTTAAGTGGATCTGACTTGGAGGATAATGATGACGAAGAGAGTGAAGAAGAGGATGCTGATTTACACAAGTTACCACAGAGATTAGAGGTAGTAAATCAGCTTCATCATACATGTACTTCATGTTGCATTCCAAGTTTGCAAATACATGTGAAACATCACGTTCATAACAATATAAAAATATGAATGTGTCATCACTTATGAATGCGACAGACAACCATAACATGTTTTTTACAAACGCGTGCCTACCCATGGGCCTTTGCGTTTTTAGCATGTGTTGTTATCTTTTCTTAAGACTCTTGCATGTGTGCTGGTGATGACCCTTTTGCTTCAAAGCGGCGCTGTTTTAGAAATATACATCTCAACATTAGATTTGATATGTATATATCAGTCGGGGGATGAAAGTGGCATAGATGATAGATTATCGGCCCAGAATCAGGGAGATTGCATTTTTGATCGGTGTTGTTTGCCGCACACTAAGCAGTGAAAATACGAGTGATTACTGCCATGTAGGTTCTGAATATGGCGCACAGACGCAGTAGATGTAAAGTCATCTATCATTTATGACGTTTATTCATTTTCTTGTGCATACAAAAATTGCTGTATCCCAGTCTCAAAGAGTAGCAGATTACCATTGGGTGACAAAACAACATTTTCTCTTCGGTGGGAAACCTGAAATATTTGAAGATGCAAAAATTTTGCAGTTTTTAACAAATTCATCAACAGAGGGCGCTGTTCAATGGCGAAATAAGTGAAAAAATAAGCATGCAAGCTGACCAGAAACATGAATTTTCTTAGGCCAAATGTAGTTATTTTAAGTGTTTGCTTCCTAATACAAAAAAAAATAATAATTCTTTATCTTTGGTTTAAGAACCAATGGGCATTTGCAGGATATATTGGTTCAATCAATATCATTTGATTAATGAATAAAATATATAATATTGAATATCACAATATATAATATTGAACTAAATTTATGTGTATTTTTCAGGTTGCCAGTGATGATAGCGAGTTTGAATCTGATGAAGAATCTGATGTTGCCATGGAATCCAGTGGGAAAAGAATCCACCCTGGTGACTTTGAAGACGGTTAATAAATGGAGGGACACATTAGAGGTAAACTCAAGAATTAGTCTGTCAAATATATTCATTACTTTAGTAAGTCAACATCCTTAGAAAAAAATGCAGCTATTTTATATATAGTGTTATCCAATAAGAATTCGTAGCTCATCTGGGCTTGTCTTGTATACTGACTTTTTTTGGACAAACAAACATAAGTACAATGAAGTCTTAATTAAGAGGGAACCAAACATCATCGTTTTCTGAAACTAATATGATTCTTTGTGTTTTACACCTGAACATCAATCGTCTTAGCTACTGTGATGTGGATTAACTTAAGTAGAAATGTTGGCGAAAAGAGGCTTACAAAATGCACTTTATTTTAGAGTATTTAATGAAGTGGAGATCGGGATTCAAACTTTCTAAGGGGTGGACCATTTGAAATAAAGGGGTGTGGCTGGAGGAGTGATATGCAAGCTAGAAACTGAGAACGAAAATTGTATTCAAAGTGTGGCAAGAAAAAATTTTTGGCAAGATTCAAGAAAAT